GAGTATCTGTGACCTTTGACTTATGGGTGTGTAACAAATGCCTGGAAACAAGTATCCATGAAAAAATTATAGGCACATAAAGAGAAGAAATTCTGTAAAACTTTGGTATATCCCATTAATGATTTCACTGTTCACTGTACTTGGGACAGCTCTACAGTAAAAGGACATATTGCAGGTTTCTTTCCCCTGCCAGAAATGGGAAAGTACTTGGTGTAATGTTTTCTTTGCTTACATTGGATGCATGCAGTGAAGCTGGTTTTTTTTGGTCATTTCCTGTCTGTGAAGACTGTGGTACTTTAGCCAACACTACCATAATAAAATATAATGCATAAAATGAATTTCCACACGTACGAATGTTGTAATAGAAATTCATAAAATACGTTATTATAGGAATCAGCACCACTTATTCATTGGGAAAAGAATCTTCCGAAATATCTTAAGTCTTTCTGTTCTAGCTTGTTATAGAAAGCCTAAAGATTTTAAAAAACACACCAGAAAACCCCATAATCCTCTGAAATATTGTCTTTTTTTTTTTTTTCCATTTAGGCATTTAAGAGTATATTCATTTTTTAGCCTGGCTTTCAGGGACTCGTTACTTTATTGCATTAAATTAATTACCCCTCTTTTCTTAGAGTACTATACTAATCAAGAAGGCATAGAATATTTTTCTGACTCATTCTGTATAAAGATCAAGTGATTAAATGAACATTTGTACTTGTAATTAATGACTTGATTGTGAAGATCTTGAAGAGAATTCCTCTTTGATGGCAGATTGCCTACTGTTCAGTAAATATTTGAGGTGGGAAGTATACGTGGAAATGTATTGGGCTTTATGGGAAAACAAATTTTAAAACATGGATCCTCGATAGAAGAATGCCACATTTCTCAGAGTGTTAATTTAGACTAGACAGGGGTTGAAAACTAGACCACTTGACCCAGTCACCTACTCTAAAAATTTGAGCAATATTTGATGCTTTCCTCTCCTTTATTCCCCAATGTCAGTCACTAAGTTCTGCTTTTATTTTTTCTTAAACATGTTATATCTATGTTCTCTTCTTTTATTAATAATAATCACTAAATTGTATTGAGCTGAGAGCATGAGATATGGTTTTGAAATACTTCTAGTTTATAACAACTTTGAAAAAATATGTATTATAATCACCATTTACGTACAAGGAACTGAAACTACAAAGAAACTAACTTGCTCCCTAAGTCCTCTGTTTATCAGTGGCAGATCTGGGATTTGAACTAAGGTCTGTCTGGTGTTCTTGCTAATTCCATTTCCACTACCATGACCTCCTTTCTGTTATGCCCTTATATGATCTAGTCAACACCATAGCACTGCTTTTCCTACTAATCTAATCTCTCTCCATCCAGCCTCTCCTTGCTACATCTTCCACAAAGTTGGCCAACTTCTCTCTCTGAGGTAGAGCCTTGAGGATCAAGAAATGTCTTGTTCATCTTTGTAACCAGCACCAGCACCTAGCTCCATGGAGACACATTGGAGATGCTTAAAAATGTGAATCAAATATGGTCCTGTTACCTTTTTATTTTGCTCTTCTATTACTTTTTCTGCTCTTCAACCTCATAGGATAAAATCTGACTTTTCAGCTTCATCTTCAGCTGCAACTCTTCCATATGTTTCAGTGTTTTAGCCATATTGAAATTGTTCTTACCTGAATATGGTATATGTAATTAGGCTTCTATGCCTTTCTTCATTTAGTTTTTCTTACCTGAAGAGTGCTTCCTTCTTCTAATTCTGGTGAAATTCTACTATTCATCTTTCAAGGACGAGTTCAAATGCTATCTCCTTTTGAAAACTGACTTCTCCCCACTAGAAGAATTCCTTCCTCTATATTCTCATAGCATATCATTTAAATACTCAATATATGAAAATGAGCATATTGTATTACGATGAATATATATATTTGTCTTGTTCTCTACCCCCCATCCATATTGGGAGCTCTTTAAGGGCAAGTGAGTCTTAATTTATCTCTATATCCCCAGTGCCTATCATAATACCTGACACATAGTAAGCTCTACAGATAAACCAATTTGTTTGAGAGAGGTTGAGGTCATTTCAGTTTAATTTTATTTCATGTGTTTATTAAATTAATTGCAGAGTATGATTAGAGCAGTTATATTTCTGGGACTATAGCCCTATAAAAGTGAGGAAAAGTTTTGATATACTCAACAGTTGTACATGGTCTCTATACTGACTGTCCTTATCAATACAGATGAGGTAGTTGCCTATGCCAGAATCCTTAGCAGTGCCCTGTATATAATGGGCTTTCAGCAAATGTTTGCTAAATAAATGAACTAATGAAATAATATGTGTGTATGTATAACTGCAAAAATGTGGACACACCAACCAAGCATACAAGGAAAACTGAAGGGACAATCCTCAACATATAAACAAATTTTTAGCAAACTTTCCAAGTAATTTTTTATGCAAATCAGAGCACACCTTCCCCGAAGAACAGGTTCCTCTACTCTATGTTGGCCAGAGTTTGAGGCGAAACTCATGCCTCATTCAGAAAATAACTGAAATGGGTGAGCTATTGTGTGACCTGTTTAACAGGTGCTACATATCCTGTTGAGAAGGATGAACCTTTCTATAGCCCAGAAAACTCACCATTTGTTTTTTACAGAATGCCCATGTGAAATCTATGTAAGTTAGAGATTACTTCTGCTTTCTTTTGTAACCATATTACTGTTTTTGCTGAGTGTAGGCTTATTTATTATTTCACTTATTTTCCCAATAGTTTGCTTGAAAAAACCTTTAAACAAAATAAATAATCCCTTTCTGATAAAAGACTTTTATGTTGGAGTTTATATTCTTTAACTTTTAATCCTATGGAAAAGAAAAAGAAAGGCAAGATACTTCCAAAGGACTATTCATAGCTGTGATTCCCCATCATTTTTACATTAAAATGAACTTGGTTTGCTGGATATCATGGCCATTAGGCATCACTATACCAACTAGCTAGGGTTTTTTTTTTTTCTTGCCTTGAACTTATTTCTTCATTATTTGCCTTTGCCTCACCTGAGAAAACCTTGCTAACCCTTATAATCTGTATCTGTATCACTGATTCTGCCCCTTTGCTGAAACCGCAGCTTATAGTCAGAACATCCTTCTTAAGATTCAAGAGACAGTCATTAAAAACTTTGTAATTGTCTCACTTCATTAATTCATTCAAGAAATATTTACTGAACACAACATGTGCTAGGAGCTGTGCTAGATGTTGGATCTACTAATGTGGCAAAGTTGGAGCACTCAAGGATCACAGTGTTTGGTAAGAGAGACAGACAAGCAGGTAATTGCCATGCAATGTGATAAGGGCTGTAACAGGGGTGTGCACTCTCTTCAGCAAGCCTTCTATATTTTGGTGGCAGTGAAATAGAACGCCTATCCTTTATCTTATTCCAGAAATTACTGTATGCTTTACATAGCTCAACACAAAGCTATCACACAAAGTACAGTGTAAGGAACTCTTAATTCCATCTTATTTTTGTTCTGTTATCAGCTTTTACCTTTATAGGATTATAGGTTATTCAAATACTACTGCTCGTTGAATGTCTAACTACTGTCATATAATAATCATTGTCTTAAGCACTAGTCTGGCAGAAATAAAGACTCTTTGTATTTTCTTGGTTGCATATTCACTTCAAATTGACTGTTATTACCCAGCTTGTTATTGTATACACAGATGTGTTACAGGTTAACTGGTGCCTCTGTAAGAAGTGCATATAAGTCCAGTAAAACATAATAAACCAACAAGGTAATGGTTTATCAATCTTCTCCTCCAATATCAGCATTATAAAAAATTTTAGATCTTTAATAATTCATTTATTCAGCATACATTGTGAAAAGCCCATTACCAGGCCCCAGAGCCCCAAAGATGAGGAAATATAGTCTTTAGCCTCAAGGAATTCACTGATAGAGAAGGCAAATTGTAAACATATAATTATGATATAGTAAGAGAAGTGATATATTAGAGGAGTATATAAAAGTTCATAGGAGCACAAAGGAAGGTAAAGTACTAATATTAATAAGGGCAAATAAATACTGCTAGAAAGCAAAACTAGCAGAATGAAAACAAACAAAAGCCAAGCATTGTTTGAATTTTGAGATTGGGTAAAATAAATAGTTATGTCTCTATTCACAAATCAGAAAATATGAATTGGATTGAGCTATTTCTTTTCTTCTGTGGCTATTATTTGGGTACCTTTTACAGAAAATGTGGCCCCTACTTTGGAAATAGTAACTATTATCATTTTCAGTAGAGTATGTGAAGTGATTTTGTGTATATTATATATGTGTGTGTGTATACGTATACATATGTAGAGAGAGATTAAATAGTGAATTATTTTTCATTTTTTATTTAAAAATGGGGAATAAATATTAATTTTACTGCTTGTAACTGTGGTATACAATTGCAAAATGTCAAACAACAATGAGGCATTCAAAAATAGAAAATCAGAGTTACCCCTTAATCTAGCTTCTGGGAGGTAAACTATTGTTAACAGTAATTATGTATCTTCCCAAGTGTTTTATAAATATACTTTATATTATATGGTTCTTAATATAGAAATAGTATTCTGAAAAATGCAGGGGTTTTTTTTGCTAGACAGTGGAATACTTTTTAGATTAGGAAAACATATTTGTACTAACATGAAAAGATATCCATGATATACTAAATCGATTGTTTTAAAACTAAATAGGATATCAATTACCTTTAATTGATGTAAATAATTTGGGTTTAAAGTGGTATCTTTTTGTTCACATGTGCCCTTTATGAATTAAAATGTGTAGCTAGAAGAATACAAAACGTCCCAATATTCTATTGAAATTTAATCTTTGGTGCTCTGGGTTTAATTATTGAAACAAAAAAAAATGAACATAAAATTTCAAATACCTTTGCCAACAGGTTTTTATTGTCTCTTATTTACTTTTCATAATAAGACTTTCATTTAAAATTGTATGTTGCATTTTCCAGGTCTCTGGACTCAGGACTCACCAATGATTTACAGGGTTTATCTGTCACAGATACACACCTTGTTGAAGTGGATGGGGACACACTTTCCCTGTATGGCTCAGGAGCACTGGAATCTCTAGATCGGAATTGGAGTGTTCAAACAGCAGGAATGGTGACAACAGTGTCCTTCACTTTCATAGAATTTGATGAAATCGTCCAAGTGCTTCCCAAATTGAAGATTAAATTTCCTAATTCTCTGGTAAACATTTCCTTTTAGTAGTATATTTGAATTACTCTCAGTCATGACTTGTGTGTTCAGGCCAAAGACCTGTTTTAACTTTTATTTATGCAGTTTCTATCTGGCAGGGAGACTAAGCTTTTGTGTTGATTTTCTGGATCTGGGATTTAAATTAGTAGTCATAAATGGCCTTGCAGTTTTCTGTTAATATTAGAAATTATCTCTCTATAAAATGATTCTTTATGGAGTATAAAGGACCAATATAATTTTATTCAAATTATGTATTTCTACTTTATAAAGCATTCATCAGGACCTCACCTAATCCTATATTATGTATTCATTTATTCTATCTGTTATTAATGGGACATGTATATTTATATATAATTCTTACAGTAGTCCCTTAACAACATTTAAAATAATTTTAGTAGCTCATTTAAAATTAGTTTGAGAAGGGGAAATGGTGGAATAGGAAGATCCTAAGTTCACCTCATCCTGTGAATACAGCTAGATAACACCCACATCAGTATAATAACCCAGAAAATTACCTGAAGACTGGCAGAACAGACTCTCCACGACTAAATGTAAAAAAGAGGACACATTGAAGAGGGTAGGGAGGGCAGAGACAGGTAGGAAGATAATGGCAGGTGCCATTTTCCTCTCCCACTCCACAGCCTAGATACACAGACACCTGCAGGAACTAGCACAATACCAGCACTCTCCACCTAGCTTGTGAACAGCATGCCCCATCCCTGCAGACTTCTGTGAACATGCCCCCTCCATCCTCGCCTGGGCAGGAGGTTTCCTGAGTGGCTGCAGGTCCCCTCCTGCAGTGGATGGATGCAGACCTTGCTAGCACCATGAGCCCTACACCTGCACTCTCCTGTGGGACCTGCCCCTTCTAATACACCCTTGACCAGAGCCCATCCAAAGTGGTGCCACAACCCTGGCACTGTGCATGCAGCCCCAAAATGGGACAACACCACTCTAAGATGACTGCTGCCCTGGGCAGAGGGGAAGATAACCATGCACACCAGTCTGACTGTGGCACCAGGAATGGGCTGGGGGCAGATATCGGGTCTGACTGCAGGGCTTGCCCACCAATGAAAGCTTCTCAGAGGACAACACAGGGAAAGTACCCTGCAGTTCAGTGCTACTGCATCTCTGGCAGACACCTGGTCTGACTCAACTCAAGCCCGTGGTGGCCCCAGACAGGCAAAGAGAGCCATTGCAGATGGCTGGACTGAAGGCAAACACAGCCTAGCCACAATAGTAGGGCACGTATGCAACACACATAAGAGATACCACTGAAACACTGGGTTCTGGGGAACGGGGGGCATTGCTCTGCAAGGGCACTACAGGACCTCTTCCTAAGGCTGCTACTTTCAAGAGCAGGAGATGAGCTGACTTTTTCAACACACAGAAACAGATGCAGAGAGTTAGAACAGGAGACAGAAAAATATGTCCCAAATGAAAGAACAAGACAAAATCACAAGAGAGCTAAATTTTTGAAATGGAGATAAGTAATGTATCTGATAGAGAATTTAAAGTAATGGTCATAAAAATACTCACTGGACTTGAGAAAAGAGTGGAGGACCTCAGTGAAACCCTCAACAAAGAGATAAAAAACATAAAAAAAGAACCAATCAGAGATGAAGAACTCAGTAATTCAAATTAAAAATACACTAAATGGAATAAATAGTAGACTAAAAGAAGCAGAAGAACAGATCAGCAATCTGGAGGACAGAGTAAGGGAAAACAATCAGCTGAACAGGGGAGAGAAAAAGAATAATAAAAAATGAAAATAAACTAAGGGAACTCAGCAACACCATCAAGCATAATAATATTCACACAGTAGGGACCCCAGAAGAGGAAGACAGAGAAAAGGGAGCAGAAAATTTATTTGAAGAAATAATAGCTGAAAACTTCTCAAATCTGGGGAAAGAAACAGAAATCCAGATTCAGGAGACATAGAGAGCCCACAGCAAAATCACCCAAGGAGGTCCACCCCAAGACACATAGTAATTAAAATGGCAAAAAGTAGTGGTAAAGAGAGAATTTTGAAAGCAGCAAGAGAAGAGAAAACAGTTACGTACAAGGGATACCAGCTGATTTTTTCAGCAGAAGTTTTGCAGGGCAGAAAGGAGTGGCATGATATCTTCAAAATACTGAAAGAAAAAAACCTGCAATGAAGAATGACCTATTCAGCAAGGCTATCATTCAGAATAGAAGGAGAGATAAAGAAATTCCCAGACAAACAAAAATTAAAAGAATTCATCACCACTAAACCAGCCCTACAACAAATGTTAAAGGGGACTCTGAGTGGAGAGGAAAGACTGTAAGCAGGAATAAGAAAAGTAGGAAGCACAAAAGCAGTAAAATTAAGTATATCCATAAAAGTCAGTCAAAGACTCCAAAGAAGGATGTAAAGTATGACACAAAATACCTAAAATGTGGAGGGGAGAGGAGTAAAATTTTAGTGCTTTTATAATGGGTTCAAACTTAAGCAACCATCAACTTAATAGAGACTGCTATATGTGTAAGATATTATATATAAATCTAATGGTAATCACAAATCAAAAACCAGTAATAGATATGCAAAATAGAAAGAAATCCAAGTATATCACTAAAGAAAGTCAGCAAACCATGAGAGAAGAGAGCAAGAGAAGAAAGGAACAGGAGGAACTACTAAAACAAATATAAAACATGCAACAAAATGGCAATAAGTACTACCCATCAATAATTACTTCAAATGGAAATAGACTGTGCTCCAATCAAAAGACATAGGGTGATGGAATGGATAAAAAAGCAAGACCCATCTATATGCTGCCTACAAGAGACTCTTTTCAGATCTAAGGACACCTGCTGATTGAAAGTGAAGGGATGGAAAAGCATTTATCATTCGAATGAAAGTGAAAAGAAAGCTGGGGTAGCAATACTTATATCAGACAAAATAGACATTAAAACAAAGACTGTAACAAAAGACAGAGACACTATACAATAACAAAGGGAACAATCCAACAAGAAGATATAACAGTTGTAAATATTTATGCACCCAACATGGGAGCACCCAAATATATAAAGCAGCTAAAAACAAACATAAAAGAAGTAATCAATAGTAGTACAATAATAGTAGGGGACTTTAACACCCCACTTACATCAATGGATAGATCATCCAAATGGAAAATCATCAAGGAAAAAGAGGCTTTGAAGGACACATTGGACCAGATGGATCTAACAGATATATTCAGGACATTTCATCCTAAACAGCAGAACACACGTTCTTTTCAAGTGCACATGGAACTTTCTCTGGAATAGATCATGTATTAGGCCACAAAACAAGTCTCAACAAATTCAAAAAGACTGAAGTCATACCATGCATCTCTTCTGATCACAACACTATGAAACTAGAAATCAACCATAAGAAAAAATTCCCAGGAAAGAACACAAATACATGGAGGTTAAATAAGATTCTACTAAACGGTGAATGGGTCAACCAAGAAATCAAAGAGGAAATCAAAAAATACATGGAGACAAATGAAAATGAAAACACAGTGGTCCAAAATCTTTAGGATGCAGTAAAAGCTGTTCTAAGAGAGAAGTTTAGAGCAGTACAGGTCTACCTCAGGAAGTGAGAAAAATCTCAAACAACCTAATCTTGTTGATGGAAAAGGAGCCGGAAAAAGAAGAACAAACAAAACCCAAAATGAATAGAAGGAAGGAAATAATAAAGATCAGAGCAGAAATAAGTGAAATAGAAATTAAAAAAAAACAATAGAACAAATGAATGAAACCAGGAGCTGGTTCTTTGAAGAGATCAACAAAATTAAAAAACGTTTAGCCAGATTCATGAGAGAGAGAGGGAGAACTCAAATAAAATCAGAAATGAAAGAAGAGAAATAACAACTGAAACCAAAGAAAGAACAAAAGATTATAAGAGAATATTATAAAAAATTATATGCCAACAAACTGGATAACCTACGAGTAATTTATAAATTCTAGAAACATATAAACTACCAAAACTGAATCAGGAAGAAATAGGAAATTTGAACAGACCGATTACCAGCAATGAAATTGAATCAGTAATCAAAACCTTCCAACAAACAAAAGTCCAGGATCAGAGAGTTTCACAGGTGAATTCTACCAAACATTTATTTTTATTTTTTATTTTTTTTAAGATTTTATTTATTTATCAGAGAAAGAGAGACAGAGGCAGGCAGAGGGAGAAGCAGGCTCCTTGCTCAGCAAGGAGCCCGTTGTGGGACTCGATCCCAGGACCCTGGGATCATGACCTGAGCTGAAGGCAGATGCTTAACTGACTGAGCCACCCAGGCGTCCCTCTACCAAACATTTAAAGACAAGTTAATACCTATTCTTCTCAAACTATTCCAAAAAATAGAAGAGTAAGAAAGGCTTCCAAATTCATTCTATGAGGCTAGCATTACCGATACCAAAACCAGAAAAAGACTTACAAAAGAAGAGAGCTACAGACAAATATTTTTGATGAACATAGATGCAAAAGTCATCAACAAAATACTAGCAAACCAAATCCAACAATACATTAAAAAAATTATTCACCACAATTAGGTGGGATTTAATCCCAGGATTGCAAGGGTGATGCTACTGAATCACAGATCAATCAACGTGATACATTACCTCAACAAGAGAGAGGATAAAAATCACACGATCAGGGCGCCTGGGTGGCTCAGTTGGTTAAGCAACTGCCGTCGGCTCAGGTCATGATCCCAGGATCCTGGGATCGAGCCCTGCATTGGGCTCCCTGCTCAGCAGGAAGCCTGTTTCTCCTTCCCCCACTCCCCCTGCTTGTGTTCCCTGTCTCGCTGTCTCTCTTTCTCTGTCAATTAAATAAATAAATTAATTTATTAATTAAATAAAATCTTTTTTAAAAAATCATGATCATTTCAGTAGATGCAGATAAAGCATTTGACAAAGTACAGCATCCATTCATGATAAAAACCCTCAACAAAGTAGTTGTTATACCTCAACATGATAAAGGCCATATATGAAAACCCATAGCTAACATCATACTCAATGGTGAAAAACTGAGAGCTTTTCCCCTAAGATCATAAACAAGACCAGGATATCCACTCTCACCACTTTTATTCAAGAGTACTGGAAATCCTAGCCACCGCAATTTGATAAGAAAATAAATAAAAGACATCCAAATTGGTAAGGAAGAAGTAAAACTTTAACTGGTTGCAGATGCCATGATACTATACATAGAAAACCTAACAGACTCCATCAAAAACTACTAGAACTGATAAATGAATTCAGTAAGGTTGCAGGATACGAAATCAATATACAGAAATCCCTTGCATTTCTATACACCAATAATGAAGTAGCAGAGAAATTAAGAAAACAATCCTATTTACAATGGCATCAAAAAGAATAGAATATCTAGGAATAAATTTAACCAAGGAGGTGAAAGACCTGTACTCTGAAAACTATAAAACATTCATGAAAGAAATTGAAGATGACACAAAGAAATGGAAAGGTATTCCGCGTTCATGGATTGGAAGAAAAAATATTGTTAAAATGTCCATAGTACCCAAAGCAATCTACAGATTTAATGCAATCCCTATCAAAATACCACCAACATTTTTCACAGAGCTAGAACAAACCATAAAGAAACCTAAATAACTAAAGCAATCTTGAAAAAGAAAAACAAAACTGGAGGTATCACAATCCCAAAGTTGTAGTAATCAAAACAATATGGTATTGGTACAAAAATACACACATAAATCAATGGAACAGAATAGAGAGCATAGAAATAAACCCATGATTATATAGTTAATCAGTCTTCGACAAAGGAAGCAAGAATATGCAATGAAGAAAAGACAGTCTTTTCAACAAGTGTTGGGAAAACTAGACAGCTACATGCAAAAGGATGAAACTGGACCACTTTTTTTTTTTTTTTAAAGATTTTATTCATTTATTTGAGAGAGAAAGGGCATGAATGAGAGAGCAGCAGAGGGAGAGGGAGAAGCAGACTCTCCACCAAGTAGGGAGCCTGATAAGGGGCTCAATCCCAGGACCCTGAGATCATGACCTGAGCTGAAGGCAGCCGTTTAACCAACTCAGCCACCCGGGTGCCCCCAAAATGGACCAGTTTCTTACACCATAAACAAAAATAAACTCACAATGATTAAGGACCTAAATGTGAGACCTGAAATCATAAAAATCCTAGAAGGGAACAAAGGCAGTAACTTAATTCACATTGGCTGAAGCAACTTCTTTCTAGATAGGTCTCCTGAGGCAAGGCAAACAAAAGTAAAAATAAACTATTGGGAATATATAAAACTAAAAAGCTTCTGCACAAAAAAGGAAACAATCAATGAAACTAAAAGTCAACCTACTGAATGGAGAAGATATTTGCAAATGACATCCAGTAAATGGTCAGTATCCAAAATGTATAAGGAATTTATACAACTCAACACCAGATACACAAATAATCTAATTTAAAAATGGGCAGAAGACATGAACAGACATTTCTCCAAAGACAAACAGATGGCCAACAGACACATGAAAAGATGCTCAACATCACTCATCAGCAGGGAAATGCAGTAAAAAACACAATGAGATATCAGCTCACATCAGCAGAATGGCTAAAATCAAAAAGACAAGAAACACAGGTGTTGGCTAGGATGTGGAGAGAAAGGAATGAACCCTTGCACACTGTTGGTGGGAATGCAAATTGGTGCAGCCACTGTGGAAGGAAGTATGGAGATTCTCCAAAAATTAAAAATAGAACCACTCTACTATCTAGTAATTGCACTACTAGGTATTTATTCAAAGAATATGAAAAGACTAATTTGAAAAAATATATGCGCTCCTATATATATTGCAGCATTTTTTATAATAGCCAAACAATGGAAGCAGCCCAAGTGTCCATCCACAGATGAATGGATAAAGAATATGTCAGTCCACAGATGAATAGATATGTGTGTGTGTGAGAGAGAGAGAGAGAGAGATGGCAAGATTTCATTCTTTTTGTGGCTGAATAATATTCCAATGTATGTATGTATGTATATGTGATATATATAAGGATATATGTGATATATATAAAGGAAAAAATAGACAAATCAAACAACAGACTCTTAACTATAGAGAACAAACTGATGGTTACCAGAGGGGGGCGGGTGGCGGAGTGGGTGAAATAGGTGAAGGGAATTAAGAGTACCCTTACTGCCATGAGCACTGAGTAATGTATAGAATTGTTGAATCACTGTATTGTACATCTGAAACTAATATAACACTGTTAACTATACTGGAATTAAAAATTTTTTTAAAAGATTTTATTTATTTATTAGAGAGAGAGAGACAGCGAGAGAGGGAACACAAGCAGGGGGAGTGGGAGAAGGAGAAGCAGGCTTCCCGAGGAGCAGGAGCCTGATGCAGGGCTCGATCCCAGCACCCTGGGATCATGACCTGAGCCGAAGGCAGACGCTTAATGGACTGAGCCACCCAGGCGCCCCTAAAATTTAAAAAAAATAAGGTTGAGAAATTAGCTTTTTCCAATTAGCTGTTTGTGGTACTATTATGTTACTTATTAGTATGTATTTGCAGAAACTGAGTTCTCCCTTGAGTTTTTATTATTGTTGTGTTTTTCTCTGTTAGCCAAGTGATTTCCTTCACCTGCCCTCTTATAGTTCTTTTTCTTTTGCCACATCATCCTCCCTAAAGAAGATAGATAGAAGTGGGACAGTATGTTCAGAAAAGAGCATCCAATTTCACAGAAAGAACAGTTACATAGGCATTTCAGTTTCAGTGATTTTCTTTCCCGTGGCCAGTTTAACTAGCCTGAATAGTAACTGGCAAGATACAGGTAGTAATGACTAATTAATTCTTCTCAGAAGCACTGTGAGCCCTGTATTTATAAAGTTCTGGAAGTTTTATTTCTAGTCTTTCCTTTGTAGATTTAATTTCAGTGTAAAGCATATAAAAATCATTGTAATGCCTAAAAGTCTGAATTATTGTATATTTATTTAATTTTAAGGATCCTAGTTTGCTAGTAAATGGGGGACATCCTTTGCAGACGGGAAATCACTTTGAATTCAATACTGGGTGGATTAATGGATTCCATCAATGATGTATCAGATGGACTAAAATTATGTAAATTTAGTAGATTCATTTGATTTAATGTAATTGAAAACATACTAGTTAAGCCTAAGGTTTACGGATTTCTTGGGGAATGATCAGTGAAGCTTTAATGTTAATTTTTTAAGATGGTTAAATTCAATGTTCAGCTCTTTTTTATGTTTTATTATTGCAGCACCTTAAATTCAAGGAAACAAATCTTGTAATGCTGCAGCAGTTTAATGCACTAGCTCAACTCCGCCGTGTCGACCAGTTGACAATTGATCCTCAAGGAAATCCAGTTGTCAATTTTACACTCTGGAAATACTATGTACTGTTTAGGCTGAGCCATTTTAGTATGCAGAAAATAAATGGAACAGAGGTAAGATAAACATAAGTCAACTGTAGAATTAAAATATTCCTTTTTAGGGGAAATAGTCATAATAATGGTCGGGAAATTCGGTAACCATGGTAGAACTTTTTTTTTTTTTT